ATCGGGCCTTGCTATCGCCGTGCGACATGAAAATTTCCCGGATCGAGACAGAATCGTCCGTCACAGCGCCTCGCCTCGATGGTGGCCTGTCAATGGTCAGTACGGGCAGGGCCTGTTGCCTGACGTGTGGGCGGCGCGGGGATTTCGTGGCGGAGGATCGTCGAGCCTCATCTCGTGCGTCGGCCTTGTGCCCCTGCCGAATCTTGTGCTACATGTGATCCTCGCATGAGAGTTTGTTCCCTCGGCACAAAACTGACTCTGGTCTACATGACTTTGCAGTTTCACCTCTTTTTTTTTTCTTTCTAACATATTAGTGCTGGGGCTGACACGACGACAAACGCAGCCGTGAACAGCGTTGAGGTCTGAGTCGTGGAAACGTATATTAGAGTTCTTCTCGGCTGTGATACCGGATCCTTGCTATGAATCGACAAATCATGTCAGAATCCCCCATGGTAGTCTGACAAGAATTCATCCGATGTTCTCGCATCATGTCATTCAACTATTGAACCAAAGGTAGCAGTGGTGGCCTTTCTGACCAAATCGCCGCCATCCAAGTGAGCCACGTCGGCCTCTCCCCCTCTTGGTGCTCATACAAAATAAATCTCCTCATCACATCTCGCATCATCTCACGTCACATTTCTGTCTCGCTCTGCCTCCCCGATTTCGCTTACTACTGCGGCGGCGGCGGCGGCTGTCCATTCTGGCCTTGGCTCCGCTGCATCTGCGCGAGCATCGCCGCGAAGAAGGCGGGACTGAACTGCGCCGCTTGCGCGCCCTGCGCATTCTGCTGCGCGCCCGGCCAGCCAGGTGGTGGCGGCGGCGGCGCGGCCGGGAACCCGCCACCTTGCGCAGGTGGCGGTGTCGGCATGCCTGCGAAGCTGAAAGGATGCGCTGCCGCGGCCGGCGGCGGTGCGTAGGCTTGCGGCTGGGCTGGCGCTTGGAAGGCGCCAGCATTCCACTGCCCGCGTGGGTGGGACTGCTGTGGCTGCTGCTGCTGCTGCTGCTGCTGCTGTTGGTGGTGCTGCTGCTGCTGATGCTGTGTCCTCTGACCCGAAGGTCCCTGCGAGTACCCGTCTCCACGGTGCTGACCTCCGCCGCGTCCCCTTCCCCGGCCGCGATCGCCCCGTCCCCTGTCGCCGCGACCCCGCCCACGTCCTCGGAAGTCGCCACGGCCACCGTGTTTGGCCTGGCGCGATCCGGGCTCGGGCTCCTGCGTGAACCCTTGCTGTATCGGGGGACCCTGACCAAAGCTCGCCGGCCGCGCCAGCGGCTTGTACGGACCGTCATCCTCGTCGTCGTAGTTCAGCCCGCCCATCGTCGTGTCCGCCTTGACCTCGTTGCGGAGCGGGTGCGGGTCCCTGCTGGACCCGGCACCGCCGCGACCGCCGCCGCCGCCGCCGCCACGCCCGCCGCGCGCCTCGCGCTTGGCCATCTTCTTCTGCTTCTTGTGCTCGGCCTCCTTCTCGTCGTCGGAGAACTCCATCTCGTCCTCGGCCACCTCCTCGTCGTGTATGTTGGAGGCGTCGGACCCCTTGACGTTGCGCAGCGGCTGCGTAAAGACGTACTTGGCGTGCGCGACGGGGTAGCACACCTTTGTGCCGGCCGTCAGCCCCGCGGCCGCAATGTCCTCGGCCGACGAGAACATGACCGTGTACATGGGCTGCAGGACCTTGCCGATCGTCTCGGCGACGGCGCCAAACACGGCGCGGTCCTCGGTGCAGAGGACGGAGCCCGTGTCGAGGACCTGGTACTCGCCCGGCGTGAAGCCGCGGATGACGACAATGGTCTCGACGACTTGCTCGACGACGCCGAGGTCCTCGACCTTCATGTCGGGCGTGATGGTCACGTCGGGCTTGGGCACCGGCTCCACGGCCACCTCGTTCTTGGAGCGGATCCCGGCTGAGGCGCCCGGTTTGGAGCCGTCGCCTTCGTCGTCCGACCCGGCTTCCATGAGCATGCGCGCCGTCTCCTCGACGCCGAGGAGCTCGTACGGTTCCTTGTCGTCGTCGTCGTCGTCGGAAGAGGAGTCGGAGGAGCTCGAGTCGGAGGAGGATTCATAGGGGGACGAGTCTTCTTCCCACTCGGGGTGGGCCGACTCGCCCGGTTGTTGGGGGCGCTGCAGCGTCGCTTCGAGGAGAGCGCCGTCGGCTGCGGCGGCGGCTGCGGCGGCAGCAGCGGCTGTGTCGTCTTGGTCGGTGGTTATGGGCTCAGCGGTGCCGAGGGCGGCTTCGAGGGCGCTCGTAAGGGAGGGAGGTGAGGCGGGGTTGTCGATGTTCATGGCGTCGGCACTGGCGCCGGGGCCAGAAGTGGAGGCGGCCGCAGATGCATGATCGGATACAGGAGCCTTTGATGCTTCTGAGGCGCTCGCTGTTGTGGAAGGCGAGGCTGTGTCTTGGGTATTCGTGGCCGTGCCGGAAGTCTCTGGAGAGAGGGGGGGGAGCGTCTCATTGGGTTTCGCGAACCCCAAGCCAGGGATCGTGAAGCCAGACATGTTGTCGGGTGATTACGGGGTCCTCTCTTCTTGATTGTTCGGTGGTATGTCTCATACGATGCGACTGTTTCGTCTGAGTAGAGGGAATGGACAAGCTCTTTGATTGAATGGATGTCTAAAGTGGGAAGTTGTCCGTTGCCAGAGGAGGGAAGGCACCTGAAATCCAGGGACTCGAAAATTTTAGTGGAGCTGCGATGGAAGTTGCAAAAGGTGGGGCACTGATAACAAGTTCAGCCTTGATAAGCTCAGACTGCCGAGGAGCACAGACCACCCATGCTTCAACAGCTCCTCGGACATCTTGGACATGTCGACCCAACCAACACGACACCTCATGCTTCCTAAGCCTGGTCAGACATGTTTACGGTAGTCGTAAGAACGAATTGATTTTCCTTTTGCTTTTACTTATAAAACATGCATCTATAAAGTGCCCGTCTTTTGATATCAAAATGTTTTGCATCTCTTCTGTGCGCCGTCTGGCTTCCACGCTCACGAACGAGACTGTGCTCTCTTAACACCAAGGTTAGAAACTGAACGCCAATGGAGCGGCGAATGTTCCCTGTCATAGGCTTCGATGTCGTCGAATAAGATCATATTATCGAGGAGGAGGAAATGCCGAGTACCGCCCCGAGCATTTCTATCCCGTTCGCTCAGGCGAGGTCTTCACTGATCGGTTCCAGACAGTGACTAAACTTGAGTACGGCTCATCATCTACCATCTGGCTTGCGCGTGACATCCTGTGAGTATGCTATAAAAGTTGCTCCGTGAAATCTGACTGATTTTTGGCACGGGCTTGACCAGAACGTAGCGTTAAAAGTTTGCACTCAACCGTCCGAAACCACGAGATCTCAAGTTACTAGCACATAAAGGCGATCTCTTCCACGCACCCTGGGGCCAAAAAAGGTCAGGAAGCTACTAGATTCTTCTAGTGTGATAGGGCCATACGGCAAACACCCAGTCCTTGTTCTCTAAGTGTCTTAAATGAGCATCCGCGTTATAGATATAGTGTTCATGGATAATGACGGCTTCGACGAAGGACTCGTCCAGGGAGCTATTAAGGAACTTCTAGATGCTCTTGATTTCTGCATACCGAGGTGAAATCCGTCTACACCGGTGAGTGTCAGGTACCTCTTATCATCCCATGCGTTCACACGTGCGAAGACGCCGAGCATGGCGACTAAGACCCCCTCAGACGTTCATCCCGGCAACCTCTTACTTGGCGCCAACGACAACTCCATTTTCCAGAAGCTAGAGGATGACGAATTCGCAAGACCCATCGCTCGCAAGCCGTACGAAGACAGAACCAACTATCTTTCGCGCCTCATGAAGCCCAAGGTCGGACCACTCCTGCTTTCTGCCCTGACTTTGGCGAAACCAGAATCGGCCCTGGCCCTCATACCGGCGACATCACGCCCACCATATACCGAGCCCCGGAGACGCTCTTGCGCATGCCATGGAGCTATCCGGTCGATATCTGGACGTCAGGCTGACGGCTCGTGCCCCCGATCCAGTTCCGGATTCTCACCACAGCTACTGCCCCTCGAGACGCTGTTCCAGGCATGGGACCTGCTCCAAAGAAGGATGCTGTTCACGGCCCGCAAATAGGACGGCAGCCTTGCGGATAGCGCGCACTTTGCCGAGCTCATTGCCACGTTAGGTCCGTCGCCGCGAGCGCTCCTCGGCCGACATCGCAGCAGAGCGCTTAAATACTGGGATAAAGATGGTACATAGATTGCCTCCCCAGTCCCCGAAATTGCGCAGCAGATAGCCTGACCCCTTCATCCTCTCAGGTGTCTAGGGCGAGTCCGTGCCTATACCAAGAGAGAAGACCCTCGAGGCAGCAGAGGCCAAAATTAGGGACAACACCAAGTTCCTGCAGTTCATTCGACGCGCGCTGACCTGGGATCCGAAGGCCCGTCCGACGGCGAAGGAGCTCTTGGGAGACCGGTGGGTCGAGGATTAGGGCGCAGTTCTGCATTGTCTGTTTGCTTCGTCCTGTGCCCGGCGTTCTGGGACAAACGTACGAAATCCAAGGCCTGACTTTTCAGCGGCGAAAAGGCAAGCTGGTGCAAATCGGCTTGGCAAATGAAAACCACGCCGAGGTCATCGTCCCATCGTCATATGCAGGGCAAGCGGGACCTATCTATAACGCAGGTGTCAGCAAGCGAGCTGGCAGCACCGACCCGCTCGCTGATTGATCTCGACTCCAGAACAGAGGGCCGCACATAAGGCTGGCGGGACAAGAGCCCCCAGTCGAGTTACATCACAGGCCATGGGTTGCCGTAAGCGCGATTCCCAAACGAGCTGGGTATGCCGAACAGGGGCGACCATCAATCAGTGCACCTCGCTGATATGACCCCGAACCGAATTTTCTTTCTAGTTGCTCCCGAAATCCACTGTTCAATTCAAGAAGAGTGCGCAAAGTTCATTTCACAGTCAGAAGAAAAGATCAAACAGACCTTCGAGGCGCTGGTTATCCACACGAAGTGACGCAGAACCGCCCCCGGTCGATCAGAGGCAACGAGTCTGAGCGATGCATGTTCCCAAGACCTCCACAGCCACGCGCCAGCCCGTCAGCTTCTTCAAGCCCCTGGACTGCTCGAGGGGCCACACCACGACAGCCGCGAAGTGAGGATGAAAGCGCCAATGCTGTGCGGCCCCGACTGACGCGTTTCCAGCTGCACATTGACGACGGGACACCAAGCCTTGACCTGTGCCTTACAACACCGGCCCCGGCTTACGAGAACGAGTGCCCCCAGGGTTCGGTCTGGGTGCCTTACATGTGAGTATTTACGCCGTTTGACGCCACAAACGCAAACCCGCATGGCACGACAGTGACTGATGGTCCAATAGGCAAGTGAGTCTTATGCCGTCAGCAACTGACTCGGCCCTGTCATGGTCTCCAACAGCTCAACACGTGTGGATTAGGAAACGACGCGTGAAATGCGATGAAGCGAAACCTTTCTGCCAACGATGCGTCAAGTGGCAGGGCTTCTGTGACGGCTATGATTCCTTTGCCCGTGCCGCGGCAGCAGCTGACGCCGCTCAGAAGGTGGCACCGGCAGTACAACGACTGAGAAGGCTAGCCCCGGCACCTGCACGTCTTGACATCCGTATACTCCTGGAGCCCACGGAAGTGCTGTTCAGAGACGAGCACGAGAAGCGGTTCTTCACGACGTGGCGCGACACTCGGAAGCTCATCGGAGGCGGTCTCTTCGAGGATGATCTCTGGGAGAGGACGATGCTGCAGCTGAGCCATGAGTGGCCTGCGGTTCGCTACGCCATCATGAGTGTCGGCGCCATCGGCAAGTCCCTTCACAAGGGGTTCGTGCCGACAACGCACCAGGAAATGGCAGCCCACGGCCCCGAGTACGGACAGGCCCTGTCGTACTACGGTCGGGCGCTGAGCGACGTGCGGCGCGCCACGGCGGACCCGAGCTCGCTGAGGGCGACGGTCGTGTGCTGCCTGCTCTTCGTCTGCTTCGAGGTTCTGCACACGGACTGCCGAGCGGCGTACGCTCACCTTGACAATGGACAGCTGCTGATGCACGAGATGACGATGCGAGCCCGTTCGTCGGGCATCAGGTCGAACATTGTCGAGTCGGAAGCGCTGGAACGTGACTTTCTCCAGATATTCCAGCGCCTCATCCACCAGACATGGTCGTACGGGGTGATCCGGCCGCCTCTGATGGCACAGATCGAGGCGCAGGCGGCTCCCAGGCAGCCACAGACCATGTGGTGCTGTCGCGGTGGGCCCAAGAACCACCGCGTCATCGAGAACATGCCCGACTCGTTCGACGACTTTTCCGAGGCGCGACGGTGGTGGGAGGTGACGCAGCACGCGGCCACGCACACGTCTCACGTCGTCTTCCGCGTCAGCCACAACGGGCTGGGCTCGCTGTTCAGCGGAAACTCGGAGTCGATCAAGACGGCCATGGAGGAGGCCACGTACGGCCACATGGCGACGGAAGACGACCTGTTCGGCAACAGACATGGGCGATCGCGGCACCACGTCGAGTCTGTCGAGCGCTGGTGGCTGGGGTTCAGACCGCTCTGGGAAGCCGTGCAGGCAGTCAAGGACCAGGACAAAGCGCGGTATCTGCAGGGCGCGCACTTGCGGGTGCAATACCTGAATCTGTATGCCAGCGTCATGTCGCCTCTGGGATGTGACTACCCAAGCGTCGTGGCCATGACGCCGATCTACCGTGAGATTGTCAGTCTGTCCAGCGAGATCCTGCCGCGGCAGCGAGACATGTTTGGCGCTGTCACGCAGGGCGACATCTTTTCGATGGATTCCGCCGTCACGTTCCCGCTCTTCCAGGCGAGCATGCGCTGTCGAGACGCCAATGTGCGCGAGGCAGCGATACGACTGCTTCAAGAGAACCCCAGGCGTGATGGCATGTGGGACAGCCGCATGTTCGAGGCGTTGGTGGTGCAGAACCGCACGCTCGAGGTGGAGAATGCAACAGAGGGAAGCCTTGACGAGCAGTGGTCGAGGCTACAGCAGAGGAGGGCTCATCTGGACGAGGAGGGGACGCTCAAGACCATTGGGTTGTTGAAGGATGTTGCGGCTGGCAAGTGGAGGCTGCAGCAGGAGGCTGTGGGGAGGTTTCTGTATGACTAGGTGTTTCGGTGGGTTGTGGTGCGTGGGGGAGGGGGAGAAAATGATGGAGGTCCTGGTTCATATTTGAAGAGGAAGGAGAAGATAGTCGAGGGATGGTTTGATGGAAAGCCGATGGTTGAGTTCATTAATCGTGAGAGTTGTTGGGAGAGTTACTGGGAGAGTGTTGTAGTGTAGGTACATGTACAGAAGAGGATGCAACTTCTGCCAGCTGTCAGATTCTCGCCAGCCGGCAACCGCGGCGGTGGTTGGCGCCGACTGCCGTTGCCCCACCTAAAAGTCGAAAAATTATCGTCGCCATTCTCAGTCCAGTTGCAATCGTCAATCGTCAATCGTCAATCGTCAATCGTCAATCGTCAATCGTCAATCGCCATCGCCAGTCAATTGCTTGCTTCAAGCCTTGGGCCGGAGCTGAAGCACGCCTTGCCTCTGCCAACCCCAGCCACTGCCCTTCAACAACAGCAGCAGCAACAGCAGCAACAGCAGCAGCAGAGTACACCAACCATGGCGCCTCCCAAGAAAGTCAAGGGCAAGAAGCCGCAGCCCTTGAAGCGTGAGATTGTCCAGGAGAAGCGCAAGCAGCAGCAGCTCAGCATTGCTGCCCTCGAAAAGTCGATTGCCGAGTTTGTGAGTCGAGCCGCCCTTCTTGTTTTCTCTCTTGTGCCTGCTGGCTCCCAAAGTCACAGCCTCCCGACTGACAAGGCATCGTCCAGGACCCCAAAGCCACCGAGGTGACGACCTTTGCCGAACTGCCCCTGTGCGAACCCACGAAGCAGGGCCTCGAGAAATCCCACTTTACGACGCTCACCGATATCCAGTCGCGCGCCGTGCCGCTCGCGCTCCAGGGCCAGGACATTCTCGGCGCCGCCAAGACGGGCAGCGGCAAGACGCTGGCGTTCCTGCTGCCGGTGCTCGAGAAGCTGTACCGCGCGCAGTGGACCGAGTTTGACGGCCTCGGCGCCCTCATCATCTCGCCGACGCGCGAGCTCGCCGCCCAGATCTTCGAGGTGCTGCGCAAGGTCGGCCGCTACCACGCCTTCTCCGCCGGCCTCGTCATCGGCGGCAAGAGCCTCAAGGAGGAGGCCGAGCGGCTCGCCAAGATGAACATTCTAGTCTGCACGCCGGGCCGCATGCTGCAGCACCTCGACCAGACGGCCGGCTTCGACGTCGACAACCTGCAGATGCTCGTGCTCGACGAGGCCGACCGCATCATGGACATGGGCTTCCAGCAGGCCGTCGACGCCCTCGTCGAGCACCTGCCGGCCACGCGGCAGACGCTCCTCTTCAGCGCGACGCAGAGCAAGAAGATCTCCGACCTCGCGCGCCTCAGCCTGCGCGACCCCGCCTACGTCGCCGTCCACGAGGAGGCGACGCCGGCCAACCTGCAGCAGCACTACCTCGTGACGCCGCTGCCCGAGAAGCTCGACACGCTCTACGGCTTCATCAAGGCCAACCTCAAGAGCAAGATGATCGTCTTCTTCTCCTCGGGCAAGCAGGTGCGCTTCGTCTACGAGAGCTTCCGCCACCTGTCGCCCGGCGTGCCGCTGCTGCACCTGCTCGGCAAGCAGAAAGCAGCTGCAGCGCATGGAGATTTCGCGGCGCTTCGCCGACGCCAACCACGCCTGCCTCTTCGCCACAGACGTCGTCGCCCGCGGCGTCGACTTCCCCGCCGTCGACTGGGTCGTCCAGGTCGACTGCCCCGAGGACGCCGACACGTACATCCACCGCGTCGGGCGCACGGCGCGCTACGAGCGCGAGGGCCGGGCCGTGCTCTTCATGGACCCCAGCGAGGAGGCCGGCATGCTCGAGCGCCTCAAGCACAAAAAGGTGCCCATCAACAAGATCACGGTCAAGGAGAGCAAGAAGAAGTCGGTCACGAAGCAGCTCCAGAGCATGTGCTTCCAGTACCCCGAGCTCAAGTACCTCGGCCAAAAGGCCTTTATCAGCTACACGCGCTCCGTCTACCTGCAAAAGGACAAGCACGTCTTCAAATTTGACAGCCTCGACCTCGACGCCTACGCCGCGAGCCTCGGACTGCCGGGCACGCCGCAGATCAAGTTCCAAAAGGGCGAGGACATTAAAAAGGTCAAGAACGCGCCGCGCGCCGGCCTGTCGAGCGACGAAGACGACGACGACTCGGACCTCGACGGCGAGCTCGACCCCGAAAAGGCCAAGCTGAAGAAGAAGAGCAAGAAGAACGAGGTCAAGACAAAGTACGACCGCATGTTTGAGCGCACGAACCAGGACGTCTTGTCGGGCCACTACTCCAAGGTGCTCGGCGAGGCCGACGACGACGACGCCGACGACTTCCTCGCCGTCAAGCGCGTCATTGACACGAACGACCTCGACGATCCGGCGCAGGCGGAGACGGGGCCGAAAAAGGTGACAATTGGCAGCCAGGAGGTCATCATTGACTCGAAGCGGCGGGAAAAGGCGCTCCTGTCGAAGAAGAAGATGCTCAAGTACAAGGGGTCGGGCACGAAGCTCGTGTTCGACGACGACGGCGTCGCGCGGCCGCTGTACGAGCTGCAGGACGAGGAGGCGTTTGCGCAGGACGGCCCGGCCGAAGAGCAGCGGGCCCGGTTCGTCGAGGACGAGGCGGCGCGGGTCAAGGATGCCGACGCCGACGACAAGGAGCGCGCGCGGCTGCTGCGGCGGGAGAAGAGGCTCAAGAGGAAGGCCAGGGAGGCCGAGGAGAGGGGCGACATGCCGCGCGTGGGTCACGCCATGGCGACGGGCGCCGACCTCGAGGAGGACCCGCTGGCGCTGCTGCGGTCGTTGCCGATGAGCGGCGGACGGCCGGCCGAGGACAGCAGCGAGGCGGAAGAGGCCGCGAGGCCGCGTAAGAAGGCCAAGAAGTGGTTCCAGACGGACGACGAGGAGGCGCCAGCAGACGGCAGGAAGGTGTTGGAGATTGACCGGGAGCCCGAGACGCTGGAGGATCTCGAGGCTCTTGCCGCGGGTCTGTTGGAGTAGGGGGAGAAGAGAGAAGAAATCTAGATACCCAATCGCAGGATATGCCGTTGAAAGGCAACATATCAGCCGTCGGACGTAAATGCTTGCGAAGGGGTGAGTTGATACTCAGGATGGAGTCGTGACCATGTACCTAGGTACCCAGAGGTACGTACCTTGACCTCCACTAGTCATGCACGCCCCATTGCCGGGCTGCATGACTCGGAGCAAAGACCCTTAATAAGCGGACCCCTCCCCTCTTGCACCCCCAAGACCCCCCAATTGCCCCTCGTCCCGTGTCAGCCGCGGCCCGTGACGGTCATGCTCGGCGCCTTCAGTTGACGACAGCCTGACATCGTCTGCTCCTTCGACAACGCTCACGCTCCGCCCCTCGGATTCTGCCGAGGCTTCTGCTGTTCGACTACTCTGGCGATCTCCTCTCCTACTCCCCAACTCCAAAACACAAGCACAATGCCGCACTCGGCGACCTCGGCCGCGACGCACAACGGCGCACCACCACCCCTCCCCGAACCCGCCCCAGCACCCGCCAAGATGGCCGTCGCCGCCGCCCTCGACCGGCACAGCTCAATGCACGCCCGCACGCTGCAGCAGGCCGCCGAAGACTGCAACCGCCGCGTCAACGCCCTCCTCGCCCTCGACCCGGACTCAGCAGCGGCGAAATCGACAACGACGACCACGACAACAACACCACCCCACGTCCTGCGCGCCGTCCAGTCCCGCGTTCGCGATGCCCTCGCCGTCATCGACGACGCCCTCGCCCGCTACCCGAGCCCCGACAGCCTCTCCCTCTCCTACAACGGCGGCAAGGACTGCCTCGTCCTGCTGCTCCTCCTCCTCGCCGCCCTCGCCCGCCGCCGCCAGGCCACGTCAACCGCCGCCGCCGCCGCCCCCTACCCCGCCACCCTGCAGGCCGTCTACATCCTCGCGCGCCACCCCTTTGCCGAGGTCGACGCCTTCGTCGAGGCCTCGTGCGCCCACTACGCCCTCGACCTCGCCCGCTTCCCCGCCCCCATGAAGCCCGCCCTCGCCGCCTACCTCGCCGCCCGCCCCGCCGTCGAGGCCGTCTTCGTCGGCACCCGCCGCACCGACCCCCACGGCGAGAACCTGACGAGCTTCGACCTCACCGACGGTGACTGGCCGCGCTTCATGCGCGTGCACCCCGTCGTCGACTGGCACTACACCGAGATCTGGGGCGTGCGTCTTTCCCTTGCCTGCGTTACCGTCTCACTGCCAAAAGGACGCCTGCTGACATGCCTAGTTCATCCGCGCCATGGAGGTCGAGTACTGCCCCCTCTACGACCAGGGCTACACCTCCCTTGGCGGCACCAACGATACGCTGCCCAACCCGGCTCTCAAGAAGGAGGGCGCCGGCGGCGAGGTTGTCCATCGGCCGGCGTATGAGCTCGTTGAGGATGACGAGGAGCGGCTGGGTCGCGACAGGTAGATTCGGCATGTATTCTAACTTGAAACGCAAAAAAGAAGGAAACAACCCAAGGAATAGGAAAACCATGGAAGGAGAAAGAAGAGAGGGAAAACAAGGCTGCAAGGGAGGAAGGCTGCAAGGGAAGAAAGCCGAACACAACGACGAGAAGAGGAGGCTTCACATACCTGACACCACAGGGACACCACAGGCTACGCATGGACATAGACGCACGCAGCACGCAGCACGCAGCTCGCAGCACACATCACACCGCACACAGCATCTGGAAAATCAATGGGCTAGATGAGATGATCATAGAACCCCACAACTCTCACATTTTGCTCCTCACTCAAGAAACTTCTTACAAAAACACAGTAAAGTCCACCTGTCGATCTATAGAAAGCTAATGTTGAAAAAAAAGGGGTATGACACGCCCAACCCCAAAACGCCCTTGCTTTGCTGCGGTTCAGTCATGATACATCATTGCGCGCCCGAAAGAGGCAGACGTCAAACGGGTGGAAACGCTCAAGAAAAACCAAAAAAAAACTGGCGCATCCTAAGGCCCAATCCCGTGGCATCAACATCGTCGACATACAATCCGCCCCCCTCCTTACGCCTCATCCGCAAGCGATGGGTCGTACGCCTCCCCAAATAGCCTCGCACGGTAGAGGCACGTCTTCTCCTCATCCCCATAGTTGGTCACCAGCCGCACAATAACGTGCTCCGTTGACACGCCGAGTCCCTTCAGCTCGTCTGGCAGCTTGTGCACGTACACACCCCCAGACGCAGCCTGGCTCTCGTACTCAAACGAACTGACCTGCACAAAGCCCTCTCCGAATGGCTGCTCCAGGCTGCCAGGCCATGTGTATGCCGCAAAGTCGCGCACCAGTTCCCGGTTGTTCCACTCGTCAATCTTCACCCAGAGCTCAATCTGTCGGGGTCGCGCAGCCGGCGCCAGCGTCGCACCGGGCAGAATGTGGTCAATGACAAGGTACTCGGGCTTGATGCGGTGTCCGAGAATGACATTGAGAGCGACGCCCTGTGGCGTCCCCTCGTGGCTGTATGTTGTGCTGCCACACCAACAGTCCCCGGCGTCTGTCCATCCGAGGAGCGCCTCGTCGGGGTCAAGCGGGCGGGGCTGGCGTCTGCTCGGATGATTCTTCCACTTCTGAGTGAGGAAGCCACCCGACCTGGACCCTCGAAGCTTGTGCGTGGGTGTTGTGTCCGGGCTGACAACGGCACCGAGATTGGGGTTCAAAAAGTTGACCCGCTCTCGAAGGTCGTGATCCCACTCGGCGGCAATCTTGCCATCTGCGAAAGCCTTGATACCGGCGTCTGCAATGACCTTACGGATTTGGCTGTTCACCAGATGGAGGACCTCGTCCCGAGACAGGCCCATGAGAGCACGGTTGTTTTCGAGGCTTGTTCTGAGAAGACCCTCCACATATGCCTTTGCCTGGTCCTTGAGCACGAGCGCTTCGTTACTGATGTGGCCGTGATCTTTGGCGAACTCTTCTTTGATGAGGAACATGAAGTTCCGACGCGTCACCAGACTGGTGTTCTCATCCGCGATTTGTCGAGCAATATGCTGTAGAGCAACCTCCTCGATGCGGTCATCCAAGTCTGCGGGCAACGCGCCAGACCCACTCGAGGGCGGCTCGGATGACGGCAGGTGGTTCTTGACAACATCGGCCACTTTCTGCCTGTTGCTCTTTGCCCATTCAGTCCAGGCATTTGGCGTGTCAGACTTGATCATCTGCTGGATTTCAGCACGTGAGAGAGCTGGTTCTTGTGTCTTGCTCTCTGTGACCAAGTAGCTTTCGCTATTCGCCTTGCTCTTGATTGCCTGCCAGTGGGCGTCGGGGATGTGGACGTAACCGGCCTTGTCCGCCTCGAAGGTGAACACTTCATTGTCTCTTTTCATCAACTCGCGAAGAGCATAGTAGAATTCAGAAGCAATGCGTGGCTTTCCATTTTGGCCAAGCTCGAGGTGGATGATCTTCGGGAGTAAGGACTCGAGCTTGGCGAGTGACACATCGTGTAGATCCTTCGAAGCCTTGAGATGATGCATCTCGTGGCTGAAACTGCGGAGCTTTTCCTCGTATGCTCTCGCATCCTCCGATGCGAAGAGCGTCGATGGACGAGCAAGAGCGAGCGGAAGGAATTGTCCCAAATTCCAAGTCATGTCCGAGAGACTCCACCCATGCCAATAGAAGGGAAGCCGTGTGCTTTCGCGGTCATTCTCCCAAATGCCGTCTACCAAAGGAGATGGAGACAAGACAGAGTGTAAAAACATGGCGACAGCCAAAGAACCCAGGCCGAGTAGTATCCACTTGAAGGAAGTGTGTAGCGCGAATCGTGTGGCCCGAGAGACTGCACGTCGGAGCGATGAATAGACTTGATGCAGCCATGAAAAGCAAGCTGTGAAGTACCATGATAAGCAGTGCCACAACCACTCTAATGCAGACGTCGAGGCCGGCTCTGCATCATCGCGCAATAATGACTCGTTGTCTTTGTCACTGCCAACGGCGTCATCGTCTTCGGTGTCAGCTTCTCTGCGGGGTTGAAACCATTGAGATAGCGAACTCCACCATGTTGCCCATGTCTGAGGGTTCTCATCTTCAAAACTCTCATCTGTGAGTTCCAACTCGGTATCGACATCGTGAGTGTGGGCGTGGGGTTTCCGAGACACTTGATTCGAAAGAGAGGAGGCCTGTCTTGTTCGCAATGGCGCAGGTTGAGCTTGCCGAGCAGGTATCCCGGCCGTTGTGTTCTTCCTAGCCTGAACTATGAGGGGGTCCTGAGGCGGGGGCTTCGACGTTGCAGGAATTGGGCCAGATTGATGTTTCTTGACAGGCTTCTTGGGCGCAACATTCTTTTGCTGTACCACTGGCTTGGTTTTGAGGGCCTTCTTTCCCGCAGGCGCACGCGTTGCCGCAGGCAGTACAGTTGTCTCAATTCCATGAGGCGCAGTATCATGCTGCTCTTTCGACGTCGTCATGTTGGCGGCGAGTTCATCTGGCGACTCTCTGGATTCACTTGACGCCCTGGGTGCTGGTGCTAAAGGGAAATTTGTGGAGCTCCCAACGTTTCCCTTCGGTGCTGTTGCCGGGTTTTTTAGTGAGGCCCTGGCTGATGAGGGAGGGTTGGACGCAGGCGCTCCCTCAGTTTGAAGCCCACTTTCCCCAGGTCGGGTTGAATGTGTCGCAGTATTCTTCACCGAAGACGGCATGAGTATAGGAGGATTTGAAACCTGCGAGGCATGATCCGCTGTGATACCACTAGTCGTGGCCGGCAGATTTGGGTAGAGGTTGGCAAGGCTGCTTGTCGGAGTTTTATTATTATGTGAGCCGGGATGGGCCTGCAGGTTGCGAGCAGGCGTCGGGCTTGCTTGGGAAGACCCGCCGTGGGATACTCCTCCAGCCCCGAACAACGATACCTCCTCGCCGTACGTGAGAACCGAGGAACCTGGCGTGTTTGTGCCTCCGAAGAACTTTCGAGGATCTTGATCAATCCCGGGAGTGCGTCCAAAAGGGCTGCTCGTAGGTGGTACTTGAGGGACAGGATTAGAGGTTGGGGCGCTGCTTCCTGGCAGATCACCAGAACCGGCAAGTATGCCTCTATGTGGCGTGACTGTCGGCGCAACGGGCATAAGATGGCCAGCCAAACGTTGCGGGGTAGGTGCGTTGGCGCGAATAGGCCCGCGACTCTTGGCTTTGGCTAGTGATAGAGGGTCAGCAAAAGTTGGCGCGAATAGAATAGGAACAAGAGTGTGGCCTACATGGTGTGATGAGGTTTTCTGGACCGGTGCGCTTCGATGTTGACGTGGAAGCCTGAACTTGTGCTGGTACTGGTGCAGAGGTGCTTGCTTGGCCTGGTGCTGTTGGTGGCGCGGAAGATCGTGGTGCAGGTTGGCGCGTGGAGCGTTTCTGAACCGGCTTCGGAGTAGGTTCAGGCTCGTCCACTACCACGTCTGCACCGAGATCGTCGCTCTCATCAGCGTCAAGGATATCATCGATGACATTCAGAATAGAGCGTTGTTCGCCTCTCCTGGCACCCAAGACACGCGGCGGTGTGACATCGGAGCCGTATGCTGTGCTGAAGCGTGACGGAATGGGCGGGAGATTGGTCTGAACAGCGGCGCCAGTGAACATGGATCCAGACGGGTCGTCTGTGAGCTCCTCACTGGCGCTTCTGTTGATGCGAGAACTTCGTCTGGGCGGCATGTTTGGTCAGGATGAGTCGTTGACCCCGATGCTGAAGGCAAGTTAGTTGGTTGGTTCTTTTTCGCAACGATTTTCGCAACGAGCTTCGATTGAGATTGACAGGAGCCAGAACAAGGCCATGGCGGATGGATATGAGGGAACATGAGGGGTTGGCGTCTTGTTTATGAGAACAAGGTGAAGCTTGATGAGATAGCCGTGGGGCCTTGAATGAGAGCACAAAGGGCCCAAGTCAGGGCGAGGACTTACCTTTGTGACGGGGTGCGTGTGGAATTTTCGGCTCAACATGAGAGAGCTTCGACAGTCTTGCGACGAGTACAATGCAAGTCTCTGAGAGGTGTACCTTTCAATGACAAGGTAGACTGTAGACCAACAGATCACTGGTGGTGGGGCTTCTTGTCGTCAAGCTCTGAAAAGTAGTCGGCGCCGAAATACCAACAGCCACAATAAACAACAAAGGCGTTTTTCCCAGTCCGGAGTCGATCAACGGACCTCTCGAGTAGAACTCCTCCTGTCGAACAGCAAAGCAGGATATTCGATGACAAAGAACAAGCGTGTCGAGCTTTCATGGATGGACCATGATTCCGGGGTGAGTGGATGCGCGACGACTGGCTTTGTGGATGCTTTGACGTCAATGAGCCGTTGGTGATGGGTGGCGCATCCGCGTCTGGATGCAGCAGCCACGTCAAAGAAGGCTCGATTCGTCTCTATGTTCCGGGGAGAGGGAGAACGGCGCCAGGCTCGTAGTCTATGTTCGGAGAGGCGCGGTGAGGTTCAGAGAAAGTGTTTTTTTTTTCTTCCTTCGCGACAAGAGCGTCACGGTTTCTTCTTGGTCGCAGGCGCAGGGACCAGGTCCTTCCTGTCGTGGTTCGCGGTCGTCGAGGAGGTCGGGGAAAGAGCTCGAGCCACACCGCGCCGCGCCTCACCCTTCCAGCTGCTGCGAACCACAACGCGTCTCCACCATGCTGTCGGTACTTTGTGCGGTACGTGCTGGTCACGTGATAGCAGTTGGATTCTGGTGTTCTCTGACGATACTTTTATTTTTGCACAGCATCCAGGTGACATCCGTCTGAAAGCACGCCGGCGGCAGAAAGCAAGGCTATTGAGGCGACAAGTACTAGCACGCTAGCCTCAGAACCGCCTTCTCTGGTTCAAAAGCATGCTCCGGACCGCATCGGACCGAGCGTGAGGGCTGATGCTCTGCGATGCACCATGGTTCGCCGAAGCTCTCAGACCCACGTGCCGCCAGCAGCGAACGACCGACCGACAGCGGGATTCGGGAATCCACTGGGCCTGGCGGCGGAATACTGACTGGCCAAGGCTTGCATGTGTGACTGCGACCTTGTCTATTGCACCTTGCAAGGGATGGTCCGAGTAGTGTGTTACTGAGGGTTATTCAATTGTGTACTGTACCTCAGCTGTCGCCTGTTCAAGTGGCAGAAATTGAGGATTCAACAGATTATCAAGCAATCGACCGTTGCGTTGACCGCTATTTCGAGAACTCGCGACGATCTGATGAGGCTCCAGGGGCAGACAGGTACATGGAAAAACACGAGGTTGGCGATAGGGACAACCCGATCAGGGCAAGCTTCCAGCCACAGTGGAGGGAGTGCCTCGAATCCTTCTCCAGGCCGCCAGGCGGGAGCGAGAGAGTCGGCGATAGGGGGCGAAGCGGCGCGCTACAGGGGACCGTATTGTCCCTTTTAGCGGGCGGCCGGGGTGTTGCAGGCCAGGCTCAGGCTGCCGCGCCTCTCTGGTGGGGGTGGCACCCTACAAGCCGTGTGTCACCCCGCCATCAGCGCTCTGAGTGTGATGAGGTGAGGCGCCAGCGCGCGGTGTTTTCGAGGGGTCGAAGGGTCAAAGGGTCGAGGCGAGGAGGGGTCGAGGGGTAACACAGGTAAGGAGACTGCCCTGAGAAGAGGGAGGTGGCACGAAATTTTCCATGCCGCCCTTCGTGTCGCGATCTTCATACCGGATCCCTACAGACAAACACCGCAAACCAGACAGAAAAAGTCTCCGCAGTCCCCGGTCTGACACCTTGTTCTCCCCCTTATAATACCACTCGCCCCTTCGCATCGCGAACCTCTCTGTCCTTGCGCTTTTCTGTTTCTTCTTCTCTTCCCCACAGACTACCCCTCAATCACCCACCCAACCTCAACCCCCCTCAACACCACACCCACAGATCATCTTCACCATGCCTGTTGGAACAGTTCTCGTCTGCGGGTAAGACCCCACCGCCCTTGGCTCTCCCTGCGAGGAAAGCATCCAGGCTGACGGCTTCTTCTTCCTCGCATCAGCGGCACGGGCTACATTGGCTCCTTCACGACCCTCTCGCTCCTCGACCACGGCTACGATGTCGTCATTGTCGACAGCCTGTACAACTCGTCCAAGGTCGCCGTCGACCGCATCGAGCTGATCAGCGGCAAGCGTCCCGACTTTTACCAGGTCGACATCACCGACGAGGCCGCCCTCGATGCCGTCTTCCAGAAGCACCCCGCCATCGACAGCGTCATCCACTTTGCCGCGCTCAAGGCCGTCGGCGAGTCGGGCGAGATCCCCCTCGACTACTACAGGGTCAACGTCTCGGGCACGATCAACCTGCTGCGCGGCATGAAGAAGAACGACGTGCCCAACATTGTCTTCTCGTCGTCGGCCACGGTCTACGGCGACGCCACGCGCTTCGAGAACATGATCCCCATCCCCGAGCACTGCCCGCTGGGCCCCACCAACACGTACGGCCACACGAAGCACATGGTCGAGCAGATCATCACCGACCACATCGCCGCCGAGCGCCAGCGCGCCACCAAGGACGGCAAGCCCGCCGAGCGCTTCAACGGCGCCCTCCTCCGCTACTTCAACCCCTGTGGCGCCCACCCCTCGGGCCTACTCGGCGAGGACCCCCAGGGTGTGCCCTACAACCTGCTGCCGCTGCTGGGCCAGGTCGCCACGGGCCAGCGCGACAAGCTGCTCGTCTTTGGCGACGACTACGACTCCAAGGACGGCACCGCCATCCGCGACTACATCCACGTCGGCGACCTCGCCCAGGGCCACGTCGTCGCCCTCAACTACCTGCGCGACCACAACCCCGGCGTCCGCGCCTGGAACCTCGGCTCCGGCCGCGGCAGCACCGTCTACGACATCATCAAGGCCTTTAGCAAGGTCGTCGGCCGCGACCTGCCCTACGAGGTCCGCCCCCGCCGCCAGGGCGACGTACTCAACCTCACCGCCAACCCCGAGCGCGCCAACAAGGAGCTCAACTGGAAGACCGAGCAGACCATGGAGAAGGCCTGCGAGGACCTGTGGCGCTGGGTCGAGAACAACCCCCAGGGCTACCGCCAGGACCCGCCCCCGGAGTTGCTCGCCAACGCCAACGCCATTGGCACGAAATAGAGAGACGGGGGACGATGGGAGAAACGCGAAGGGATTTTCCAGGACAGCCTGGATTCGCAGAAACGGGAAAAAAATGTTGCTGCTTTTCACTTTCTCCTTTTGTTGCTAGAGGTGCTGAGCGCCACGCACGATAGACTAATGAAAAAAAAAACATGACGAAGAGGCTTGGAAGTGTCTCTGCAAATGAGCGGAATTTCATTCTCGATCCCCATTACTACACGTCTATCGGTCTAGGCAAGTCTGCTGCGTGGTGCGTGGGCAGCCCCATCTCCCTCGCGTCAATCAATCTTGAGCAGGAGCTTGCCGGATGTCTTCCTCGACTCCAGGTCAATGTGGGCCTGGGACGCGTCTGCCAGAGGATATGTCTTGTACACTGGTACCTCGACCTTGCCAGACGTCAGCATCTCGAACAATTCGCTGCCGTACCTTTCCAGCTCCTCGCGCTCGGCTAGGTAGCCGTTGACCACAGGTCTCATGAGTTTGAGGTTCTTGCCGCCGAGACGGAGGATGTTGACGGGGTCCACGGCGCCAGACTGTAAAACATCAGCATAGTTTGGGTTCAGGCAGGGGCATGTGCTGTCACGACGTACAGCATTTCCAAAGACGACAAGCCGTCCCTTGCGCGCCGCCATCTCGACGTCACCGTCAAAGGTCGTCTTGCCGACGCCGTCAAACACGACATCAACACCATGGCCACCGGTGATCTTCTTCACCTCCTCGACGAGGTTAGCGCTCTTCGAGTTGACGCCAAACTCGGCGCCCTTGGCGTGCGCAGCAGCGAGCTTCTCATCGGAGCTCGCCGTAGCGATGACGCGAGCGCCGACGGCCTTGAGCATCTGCACGAGCAGTCCACCGACACCACCAGCCGCGGCGTGAACGAGAGCCCACTCGCCAGACTTGACCTCGCCCGCCTCGCGCACAAAGGTCCATGCCCGTGAGCCCCTGCAGCCAGGCGGCAGCGGCGACGTCGAGGGACAGGTTGTCGGGGATGACGACGACCAGGGCGGCGGGCACGGCAGAGTAGCTTGCGTAGGCACCGACGGATCCCATGTAGACGACACGCGTGCCGTTGGGGAACTTGGAGGCCACCGAGGGGTGTGCAGCAGCGACCGTGCCGGCGCCTTCTCGTCCTAGAGTGTAGGGGAAATCGTTGCCAGGGATGGGGTAGAGACCTGTGCGGAAGTAGGTGTCAATGTAGTTGATGCCGGCGTAGGCGTTGCGCACGAGGACATGGCCCTCGGGGACAGCCGGGACGGGAGCCGTGTTGAGAGCCAGCACGGAGGGGTCGCCGGTCTTAGCAATCTGGATGGCGGGCATCGACTGCGGCAGGGAAGAGGAGGCCATCGTGCGATGTATTCTGGGGCCGCAGATGGGTCTGAAAGCTGTTTGGACAGAGAAAGGCCGGACGAGGGCAGCGGTTGGGATGCGCTTTGATACGAAGTAAAGTGGTGAGGATGCCAGAGACATGCTACGTACGCTGGTGTTGATACTGATCTATCTTAATGCGTGGTGGGGGTTGAAGTCGTGATCCAATGTGATGAGGGGTAAATCCATGCCTGCCTGCCCGAGGTGCCGCAATGCTGTTCGGGGCTAGTCAGGTGCGCCGCGGATTAGTGAGCCGGAATACTGGGCAACTCTGATGTTTCACGCCCTTTCATTGCCTTTTTGGGCATGATGGGTGGATGCTGGACGATCAAGACAAGGGCCGTTCATTTTAGCATTACTATTAGAATCAGCCTTGGTCGGCGGAGGCGCGTCGTCACTGCTAAGTTTTCGCCGAGTCGCCGTGCGCCTTCAGAAGAACCCGATAAAGCTCTTATCTGGATGAGACAGGAGCGCGTCAGCTTGAGCGATCTCCAGGGGTTAGTTGCAGTGTCCCGGCGACGGAGTAACGACGATGCCTATCCATGGAGAGTGGCCTCCGGGGGCTGAGTCGGAATGCTGTGAGGCCCCGGCCGAGAGGTGGTTCAAGTTTTGTTTCAATGGGCATGCTGCCTCGTCGCTTTTTCCCCAAAGCTTGCGAGGCCTTGTTCTCTTTGTTCTCCTTGTGGAGGCTCTTGTGGATTGGCGATGACTCGGGAGAGCGCTGCGCCTCGCAGGAAACGAGAAAAGAATCTAGGTTGCCAAGCAGAACACTCAGCGAATGGCGTGCATTGACTTGCACTGACACACCGAGACGAGCAGGTTCCGTTGTCGTTCTCTTCTCGGAACATGGGTGGGAGGCAACAGAATCCACGTGCCGCGTCATCGCGAAAGAACAGAACCGTCGGCTAGGGCCTCGCCATTGGCCTTTTCATCCGGAGTCCGGGCTCTTGATGAAGGGTGAAACGGGCGAGAGAAGTGGCTGTTCACATGCTTTTCCAAATGCATCATGGACCAAGTATCAAGAAGCCTGCGAGGTTGGGGCAAAATATGATTCGACGCAATCGTGACGATTCCAATCAGGAAGACTGCAAGGCGAGACATCAAGCTGGATTTTGACGCTTGTCCTCCCCCACTACCTAGTGATACATGTACCTTAGGTGCCTTAAGCTATAGCTGATGGATGGGCGAGTCGGCACCTGCCAAGCGGCTCTCCCGTCGAAGGCCTGTCTTCGAGCTGTGGCTAGAGAAGGAGAAATTGGTGGGGTGGACAGGGGCATCGACAGGGGATATGTGGCGCATCGAGATCCACTGGCTGTCCATCCCTCTGTCTTGCCTGTCGTCCCTAAGGTAGGTACCTCCTGCCCATGGACACAGAAATGCACTGCCTACACTTACACTGCCTGCACTTGCCTCACACCCGCTTGCTCCTTCCCCCTCCGCCACGGTGTGTGGACGTCACTGACCGAATACTCGTGTCTGTACGGCTGCTCGGGATTTTCGCCTTTCATCCTTTCGCATTTTTATCCTTTCATCCCTCATCTCCCCAAGCTGGAGCCTTTTCGTTTTCAAATGTCAAGAACTCAATGACTGGCGGCCCCTCTTACGAACACTCTTCAGCATAGTATCCGTCGGTTCTGAGACGAAGCAGTTTGCCCCCCAAACTCGACACTCAGTCCAGCCCAATTGGCCGAGCCTCGAACCCGCAACCCGGCTCACTCACTCCTGAGACATCAGTCCATTCGTCTTCTTCCAGACGGACCAGACGGACCTTGACACAGGAATTCAACCTCGGAGGGAGGCCTCGCCGCGTTGTATCTCCAGCCCTCTCTGATTGCTTCACCAACCTTCTTCCGATTGCGATCTGCCCCTCCTCTGATGCAACCACGATCCGTTGTTTAGCTTTGGCTTTTGGCTCTCTCTCACCACGCTGTGGCTGAGGAGCTTGACCTGAACCGCGCCACCCATTAAGCGACACGTCCCTGTCGTGCCTGTCATGCCAATTCCCTCCCCCGAAGACCGCCAGCGGCGACTTCTTCAGCTCGCCGAGCAATGGGGCGTGGAATTACCACCAACGACCTCATCACTGTCCCGCCCATCTCATCCGCCAACTTATCGCAACACAGATGATGACTTCTACGCCGAAGAGCTCGTCAAAAGAAGACAACTCTCGCACGGCCGGACCGAGTCGACTGGAAATCTTCGGAAAGCATTTTCTTCCTCCAAAAAGAAATCCTACGACCCCAAGATCGTCTTCGATGCCTTGAACTCTCACGTCGCCAACTCTGGTAGAGCCGGCGCAGCCGAGTCCCTCATCAATCTCCTCATTAGCTCTGGTGGCGATGTAAATCTTCCCCAGAAGCCCAAGCCAGGCCTTCTTAGCCGTCGCAAGAGCTTGGAGACCTTTGGAGAACGAAGCAGGCTCCTCCAGCAGGCGGTGCAGAATGGACAGGCAGACATGGTGGCCGTCTTGTTGCCCCACGCGGACGCCGTCGCCCTGGACACATCGTTGCCCATAGCTATGAGAAACCAGAACACAGCGATTGTTGAGCTGTTGCTTCGATATGGTGCCGGTGCCGCCTCGACGGCTGATGCCCAGGACGCCGTACGCCAGGCATGTGTCACAGGCGGACAGGCCGAAATTGTCAGTCTGGTTTTGCGGTCCGAGGGACGACCCTCAGCTTCCTGGCTGTCCCAATGCATGATTGATGCCACTCGAGCCGCCTGCGTTTCGACAGTTGTGAGACTAGCCAGATCTACCGCCGATGGAAACCACAATCAGGCGCAGGCCCTGAAGATTGCAATATCGCAAGGACGACACGACATAGTGCTCGCAATCTTGCTTGGAAGCAAACCACCCCGTGGTCAAGGCCTGGACGAAGCCTTCACCGAACTGATCGGCCATCCGTCTATCAATCCAAATGACAAGATTTCCATGGTGGAGATGCTGCTTTGTGCTGGTGCCGAGGGGGATGGCCCATCCCTTGCTCTGCTCGACTCGGCATCCGCGGAATTCCTCGAGATGCTCCACGTCCTAGTCACATACGGCACGTCGATCGAGTATCGGGATGCCATGGCCGTTCGAAAGGCCATATCCAGTGGCCGCGTAGATGTGGCGCATATTCTGCTTGCTGGCAACTCGCCTTTGAGCTCTCTTCAGGCGTCCGAGTGTGTTGAACTCATTCCTAAAGACTTGGCATCGGATCACCGGCGGCTGTTGCTTGATGTACTCTTGCGAAGAGGAGCCAGCGGCAATCCTCTGCATGCCGTTCTCATCGAAGCCGTTAGGGCTGGTGACGTCAAGTCTGTCAATCTCCTGGTCACTCCCCAGTTCCCGGGGTCGGGCCGACCCGTCGAGTCTCAGTCGCCGCGCGGTTTGGGGAGAAGAGCGTCGAAATCTATGGTCTTTGAGAGACACGAAGTGGCCTCGGTCGACTACAAGAATGGACTGGCGTTGCAGATTGCAGTCGGCCGTGGTGATGTACCCATGGCCAGTGTGCTGCTCGCAAGCAAGCCCAGCGGTCAAACTGTTGCGCGTGTTTTCGCCGAGACATCAGCACTCCCGCCTCGGGACAAGCTTGCCATGGTGGAGTGTTTCCTCTCAAATGGACTACCCCCTCAAACCGTACAAGATGCTTTGCAGGAAGCTATCGACTCACAACCACCAAACCGGGATGAAGCTTTAATTGCTCTGCTTCTTCGGTTCACAAACGACGTCAATTCAAGCGATGGGGCATTGCTGGCAGCAGTGACGCAAAAAGATGTCAAACTTCTCGCTGCGCTTCTCCGGAAGAACATCTCGCCAGACACCGCGGCGGGTGTTCTTCCTAGCATAGTAGCGATTGAAGACCCACGAGCCAGGCTTGAGATAGCGAGTCTTGTATTGAGCTCCGTGCCTGGCATGGATCCCGCCAAGGTGTCGTCTGCGATGCTTCACGTTCTCAATACACAACCTGCAGATATGAGACTGCTGCAGGTGCTATTACAACAAGGTCGAGCCGACATCAATTTTCATGATGGCGCACCATTATCAATCGGTATGTTAGGTGTATCTCAACCCTGCCATCCCTGTCCTCTAACAACGATAGCGATTCGTGACCATGAGCCTCCGGTGCTCGACACAGTTCTCAAGCATAGCAAGCCCTCTGCTGCGACTCTGAATCGTGCTCTGAATGAGCTGTCTCAAATGCCATCCTCTGAGAAAAAGGTATCCAAACTGCACACCCTCTTGCGAAGAACTACAGACAAGGCCCTTCTCAACGATATTCTGGTCAAGGAGGTCCACTCTCTTGTCAAGACAGAGCCTAAAAGCCGGCAGCTGTCCACGGTCAAGGTCCTCCTTAGCTCTGGAGCTGACGTCAATTCACACAATGCGGCAGCCTTGTGTCATGCAGTTGCTGCCAGCGACGAACAGTTGACGAATGTGCTTTTCGAAGCCAAACCGACACCGGCATCCCTGGCTTACGCTCTGCCACATGCCTTACGGATAACTGATCCCATGGATCGCTTGGCCTTTTCCAAGAAGTTGCTGGAGGCTGGTGCCCCTAGTGCGGAGGCTAATCGTGCACTGGGCTTTGCTATCAATACATATTCTGACGATCTCCCTTTGTTGCGGACCCTCTCAGTCAAGGCGAATACCAATGATGGGGAGGCTCTTGTTGCTGCCATCAGACGAGAAAGACCCGACATTGTGGAATTGGTGCTGCAGAGAAAGCACACCACCGCCATCCTTAACAGTGCTTTCACCGAGGCCACCAAATGCCAGAAAAGGGATACTAGAGCGCTCCTGTGTACGCTGCTTCTGAAACATGGGGCCTCGGGCAACGCGGTTTCAGAAGCTTTGCAAGCTGCGGCGACCGACGGAGACATCGTCCTTGGAAACATCTTGATCAACCATGGTGTAGGCGTTGACGACCAAGCTATCATCGAAGCTTGTCGGTCCGGTGCTGCCGATGTCTTAGCGATGCTGCTGACCGGTAGAG